AATGCTTAGAACGCAAAGAAGACCAATAACCAGAGTACAAATTAAGTAAGCTGACAGCCAGCTAAACCTCAGAGAAAGTAAAAGCCCCGGCTGAGCCCGTCTCCAAAATGAATGACTTCAACCCTTGAAGAGTAAGATAATTTTATATGATAGTTAAACTATTTCAACTACACAATTCATACTGAAAACCTTTCCTATTCATTTTATGAAGCTAACATAACCCTGATTTATAAACGTGACAAATATCTCCCCTAATAGAAAAGTAGGTATAAATTCTTACCTATGAAGATAGAGGAAAAATACCCCAAGCAACATATCGGCAGAATGAACCCAGCAGCATTTCCAAGCACAATCGAGCCTGACCCAGTGGGATTTATTCCAGAAACAGGATGATTTAGCTCAGAAAAGCTAATAAGTCAACACATTAATAGGTCCAAGGAGGAAAGGAATTTGATGATTCTGCTATATACAGGAAAGCCTCATATGATATCCATTCTTGGTGTACACTCTCGGCAATTAATGTAGGAATGAAATGTACTTCATGATGAAGATTATGTATTTGAAATTTAGAGCCAATTTCAGACTTAACAGTAAAACATTAGAGGCCTCCTCATTAACATGAAGATCAAGCCAAGGACAACTGCTAGAGGTGTGGGGACGTATGTATATGTGTAGCTGATTCAATTTGTTGTAAAGCAGAAACTAACACACCATTGTAAAGCAATTATACTCCAATAAAGATGTTAAAAAATAAATAAAAAAATAAAGTTGCTTTGTACCTTTCAGAAAACACACTAAGATAAGAAAATGTTAACAAGATACATTAGAAATGAATTAAACTCATTCCTGGGTTTTCCAGGGAGCCCAACTGAAAAATCTGTTCAAAATACTGAGAGTTTAATTACCAATTACCTAACATACATTTTTTAAAGATCGCTGTCTTACCTATCAACCTCGCCTGGAGACAGGTATTCCCATCCCCAAAGACATCCTGACTCAGTCCGTGTGGAGTGCGTGCTTTCACCCCAGAGGCAGAAGGGAGGAGGGTGTGTGTGAGCCAGTGCCTGCGTGCATGCGTGCGTGCGTGCGTGCGTGCCCTGGGACCTCCCAGCTCTGCAGGTCTCCCAGCCTCTGGGCAGGGACGTGTTGCTCCCAGTGGGCCTGCCCTGCCACCCAGGTCAGCCACCCAGCCCACAGCCCCCTTACTGGCCACACACCCCTGACACCGCAGCATTCTGCCCTCCAGGCTGGGCCCCTCTAGGGGCCTGCCACCCCTCTTCTAAGGAGGTTGCACGGGGCCCTGGTGCGCGCAGGGTGGCCAGGCTCTGGGGTCGGCCAGCCCCAGAATGAATGTCGCCTCTTCCTGCTCTGCTCATGGCGCTGCCTTACGCCTCAGAGCCTCAGCTTCCTCTTGTGTCACTGGAACAGCCACCTCGTGAGGGTTAAAGGAGACGCGAGAGCTGGCTCCAAGTCCTCTGACTCACAATCGCCACAGGGGGCGGCTCGTGCGGCAGCGACACTGACCTTTGGGAAATGCCGTGGGCTTGGCCCCAGCCAGGCAGGCCGGTGTGAGCGGGACAGTGAGGGTGGGGTTCTTCCACTGGAGGCTGAGACACAGGGCAGTGGGTTTGCCAGAGAAACCCCACCGGCTGGCCGGCGACCATGAGGCCACAGGGCCAGAACGCTTGGGGGCTGCAGGGCTCCAGGGGGTGAGAAGCAAAGAACCACAGTGGAGGTCCCTGGCTGCTTTCCTCTGGAGACCCCGGGGCCACTGTCCACATGACCGATCACCCAGGGCCCTCCAATCTGTCTGGGCTCTGGGCTCCCCTTGTCCTGGAACCCACAGGACTCCAGCCAGCAAAGAACCTGGCATAGTGGACATCCTGGGCAGGGGGCCAGCTGTGACCCCTGACACCCTGGCTGAACTTAGGCAAGCCACAGCACCAGTGGGCCTCAGCTTCCCCACATGTAACACATGGAAGCAGAACTAGGCAGTCTCCGTGGGCCATTCCAGCCCTCGTGTCTGTTTCTCCCTTCCCTCACTTATTCAGTCAACAAACATCCCTGAGGTCCTACTGATCTGTGCTGCACACTTAGAAATGGAAGAACCCATGGAGCTCAGTGTGTGCCACTAGGGGTAGAAGTAACACCGCAGTGCAGTATGAGAGACTCGGGATTAGAGGTCTGTGCTGGCTGGGTGTTGAGGGGGCACAAGGGTGGAGGGACTATCTCTGTAGGGAGAAGTCAAGGAGGGCATCCTGGAGGAGGTGATTTGGAGGTGGGCTTCCAAGGATGAGCAGGGGGTTTCCAGTGGGTTAGGAGAAGGAAGAGCAGGGAGATAAAACAGGTCTCCTGGCTGACCTGTTTTTATCAGGATTGTTTGTCAGGACTGTGACACCACAGTCCTGACAGACCAGCCCTCTTCTGGTCACTCAACAGCAGCTCCCCAGAGGGTGAGGGCCAAGGAGCCCAGCGCTGTGGAGGGTGCAGGCAGCTTCCACAGGTACCTCAGCTCCGTCTCTCAAGTCAAACCCTACCCATCCCAAAGCCAGTGTGTGACTCCCCATCCCCAAGCAGCTCTCCCAGATGGCCTAGCTCGCACAGCCCCTGCACCACTGTGGTCCCTGTGCTTGGTGGGTACGTGACCTACAGGTGGTACTGCCCCCAGTGCTCCTGAACCTCGACGGGGACAGCAGCCAGGTCGACACAAGATGCTGTGGCCCCCCACCTCACCTTGCCTCCTCCAACCCCAGCAGCAGGCAGGCCCAGCAAGATGAGGGCGTGGTGCCTGGACCAGGCTGTCCTGAGCCAGCAGGTACAGGTGTAGGCGGCGTGGCCAGGAGGCAGCAAGGGCTTGCAGGATGGAGCAAGCTGGGGCTCCATATTAGCATCCCAGGCCAGACCCTCCCCTAACTCCATACACCCAGCCAGTGCCAGGAGACATCGCCCCGAGGTGTCAACCAGTCCCACCTCCTCCTCGACCCCCCGCCCCCCGCTCCACCTGCATTCTTTCCCGCCTCTCCTTCCTGGAGTCGGCTGTCTCCTCTCCATCTCTACACCACAGCTCCACTGTCAGCAAGGCCACCTGCTTTACCTTCAGAGTAAATCGGCCCTTCTCTCCTCCTCCGCTGCCACCTCCCTGGTCTGAGCCCCTGGGCCCCTGCGCTTACGCTTGCCAGCTCTGCTCCTGACACCGGCCTCCAGTCTGGTCCTCTTCAAAGCCTTGCCTGACCTCTTCCTGCTGTGCTCCTCTGCTCCCACTGCCACGTATCTCCTTCCCTCTCCTCCAGCAGGTCCTCAGGCTGAGGCCTCCCCTGACTGCCCCACCCAAGACACAACAGCTGCCCCACACTGGTGGTCAGTGCACTGGGCACCAAACGTGTTGGACCCCTGCTCGCCAGGCTGAGCAGAATTGTCATTACTGGTCCTAGCGAGACTGAGTGGGGCCCTGTGACTCATCTGGCTCAAGAGCAGTGAGTAGAAGTGACGTGTGGCACTCTGAACTGGGGCGATGAAAGGTTAGTGCAAGGGCCTCTCTCCCCCTCTGCCATGGGACCTGTCAGCCCAGGTCCTTGAGTGAGGAAGGCTTGGAGCAGGCCTTGAAAAACTCGCTGATAAGTGAAACCATGAAAAACTCGCTGATAAGTGAAAATTACAAGGTGTTGTTATAAGCTCCTGGCTTTGGGGGTTGTTTGGTTACCGCTGATAACCTAAACTACCCTGCCCTTGATATGCACCCTTGATATGTTCTATTCCTCTTTCCTGCTTTACTTTTTCCTTTAGCACTTAGCACCATGTAACATTCCATATTCCATTTCTTGATTGTGCTTTTCTTCTTCCCTGTCTCTCTTGCTAAAAGGTGAGCCATGAGGACAGGGACTGTGGTGTCTCTGGTTCCCTGCTGAATCCATGGTGCCTGCACACAGCAGGTGCTCAATAAATGTGCACTGAATAAGTGAAAGAATGAAGGACTAAATGAATCCTGCTTCTTGGGCACAGCCAGGCCCAGTCAGCCCAGCTGTGGCCCCCTTCTGTGCCCCACCTGCACTGAGCCTGAGGTCTACGCCGGTCAGCTCCAGGCTGAGGGCTTAGAACGGCGGCACCTGAATCACATTGCCTGATTGCCTCAAAGGAAGGGTTTGAGCCATGGAAATGCAACACTGCCTCATGCTCTGGATTAATTCCAGGACAGGTTCTCAGCCTCCCTTCCTGTAGAAAGGAAGCTGGCCCTCACCTTGGGGTCCACACCCCTGGAAGCCCCAGGCTGGGCCTCACTTTCCTGAAATACACAGGTGTCTGTGGGCCCACACAGGCACAGTCCTGCCTGCCCTGCCTCTCCCTCTCTCTCACACACACTCCATATATAAACATGCCCACATCTTCACATACTCTCACTCTCGCCCACACATCACACATACACACCTCCCACGTGCCCACCTCATCACAGACCTCCTCTCCCGGCACCTCCTCCAGGGCAAACAGGTGGTTCTGTGTTCAAGTCCAGAAAAGGATCCACTGTCGTCTTGGCGCTTATAAGCCTGCCTGTGCCAGTCCCAGGGCAGCCACCCTCCTGCCGACCCTGTCACTGGGGCTGCTGTCTCCTGCCTCTCCGGCCCTGTCCACCCCACATGGGTCCCTACCAGGTGTGCAGGTGCCACGCGGCCACAGATTATCACCGGCGTCCGCAGGCCGTGCCAGGTAGCAGCCTGGGCTGCCCATCCGTTCTAAGCCCTGGGCGCAGCCCACCTGACAGCTGGTGTCCCAGTGGGGACCCACAGAGAGAGTGGTTCCCAAGGGCAGGCTTCCTCCGGGCCTGGCCAAAGATGTTCTCAGGATGGCCACACTCCTTGTCCGGAGGTCAGGACTGCTTCCCGAGCTCGGCGGCGCAGGAACCCCTGACCCCGCAGTCCGACTGCAACCAAGGGGTTGCCCTGAGAGCTCGTCCACGTCACCGCCTCCGCGACCCGCCGCCCCGCACCTGCCACGCGCCGCAGCCCTACCTGGGGCTCCAGAAACATCCTGGCTGCCTGCTCCCAGCGCTGTCTCCCGGCGCCCCGGGCGTCCCGCGTGCGGCCGCTTCTCTCCCCGCGCGCCACTGCAGCTCCAACCCTCCGCCCCGCCCGCGGACTACCCCACGCCCGCCTCCTCCCGGGAGGCGGGGCCCGACCAGGGCCGGGAACGCTAGGATTCTGGATGGGGCGGAGGTGAGGGGTCAAGGGGTAGCGAGCGACAGGGTGGGGCCGAGGGACCTCGAGGCAGGGCCAGGGGCGGTCTGGGGCATAGTGGAGTTCGAGGGGGGCGTGGCGCAGGGGGCGGGGAAAGGACCGGAGGGGCGGGGCGCTGCTTGGAGAGCGGTGGCGAAGGTGCAGGGGTTGGGGCGCCGGGAGGGGCGCGGCGTGGGCAGGGCACACAGGCCTGGCGCTGGATTTGGGGGCGCTGGGAGTGCAGGCGGAGCGGGCCGTGGCGTCAGGACGGAGGCCATGGCAGAGTGTCGGTGCTGGGTGCGCCGGGTGGGCTTGCGAAGGGGGGCCGTGTGGGTCGGTGCTTAGCGCGCGGTAGGAGCGGTCGTCCTGGTGAGATCCAGCTAACGGAGAGCCCCGTGCGCCCCCATATCCTCCCTCGAGCCTCTCTTCCCCCTCCCCGACCTCACCTCATCGTAGAGGTCCACTACAGAGCTACGGCAGGTGCTTGGCCAGCGTCTGGCTTGAATGCCTCCCCTCACGGGGCTCTCACTCCACACAGCTCTGGCCTCGAGCGTCCCACGGAACTCTCTGTCCTTCCGTTTCCTTGAGTGAACACAGGGGACACGGCAGCTGCTTTTGTGGGAGGACTACTCTAAGACACAGCGTGGGTCGGACCTGGCACATGGCACAGCGAGGCGTCCTCTCGCCCCCAGAAGCCCCGGCGCTCAGAAAGAATCCTGTCCGGTGACGGATCTTCCCCTCCCCCGCGTTCCTGCGTTGCCCCCAACGCGGGCTCTGAGAATCTGAAAGGAAAAGGTGGACTGAGGGAAGAGCGCCCTCTCTGGGAGATCTAGAACCGGAGGGCCCAGAGGCTGAGTGGGGAGAGGGAGGGGGTGGGATCTGGAAGAGCTCAGGAACAAGCTCTGGGGCTGGGATGGGGAGAGGTGATGCTGTCAGTGTCCAGGCAAGTCCCAGGACGCCGGCCCCCAGCAGCCCGTGAGACAGCCATCTCTCTTCCCAGCTACCCGTTCTCCTTTGCCTGTTCTCTCACCAGTAGCAAGATTGGCCCTGAGGCTGAGTCCTGCTGGACAGCTATTTCCGTCTTGAGGAACTAGGGGCTGTGCTGAGTCCATTCACCAGCCTCCTCCAAGAGAATGCAGGAGTTTGGAGACAGCCGTCCTTCTCTTGGAGGTCTGCCCCCCCCCACTTTCTCTACTAAGACTGGAACCCAGGTCTCACTGCTCCAGCACCTGCTCCTGTGGGCGGGCAGTCGGGAAGAGGGGGGCAACATTAGCAGAAATGGCCAGGGCTGCAGACTGCTGGCACATCAGCCCCCCAAGCTTCCACACTGTCCGTCTCCCCCTGCTGCTTCTGCATCTCATTTCAGGCCAGTCAGAGGATGCAAAGCTAACACTGGCCTCTGCAGGGGACTTGTGGAACCGGGACCAGCCTGGGCCCTTGGTCCTGAGCCCGCCTGGCCACTCTTCCCCTTCAGACAGCTCCACAGTGCCAAGAGGGGTGAGCGGTTTTGCCCTGAGGGAGCTTGCCAGGCACCTACCCCTGCTGTCCTTGGCCCTACCCCACAGCCCTGCAGGACATCTGGGCCCTCAGGCAGCCACAGTATTTCCTCAGGAAGTCCATGTGGGCAGTTAACACCCTCTGCACCCCGAGCAAGCCTTCCCCTCTGCTTCTCTAGATGTTATGGCCCAGAGGAGTTGGCTAGGCCGATATGCAGCACCACTGCACCTTTCTGTACATGCTCACTCACAAATTTCACAAGCATCCCTAAGAACCTTGGTAAAGTAGATGTTTCCCCAGGATGAAGGAGCACCCTCTGCCAGTAGTCTCTGCAATGGGAATGTCCTCACAGACACAGGTGGTGCTCTCTCGCCTTTGCTCACAGGTGTGACCTCAGCATTCATGTGTGTACATGGACTACATCCGCATCCCAAGGCAGCAGGGAGATGGGCGTGCCAGGGCTGTCCCCTGCCAGGGCGCTCCCCTGCTTGAACCTGTGGGTGGGGCTGGGCGTAGAGAGCAAGGTGCTGCAGGGAGGACTTGTGGGGACCGGCACAGGAACACAATGACCTTGCCAGAGCTGGCTTTAGAAAGTGGAGAAGGAACCAGCTGTGGTGCAGCCAGCAGACATGTGCTGGGGGCTTCTGGAAAGATGAGGCACCCCAGATGATGTGGGCTGGCCATGAGGCCAGGAACAGTGCATCCATCCCGTGACCATGAGAGGATGCTCTGAGCAAAGAGCAAGGAAGCCTGGTTCCAGAATGACAGTGACCCTGGACATCCTCCCAAGTACGGACACCTGGGACAGACGGGAAACTGGGACAGGAGGCTGGACTCACTGCTACAAGCTCCTAATCAGTGTCCTTGCTTCCACCTGTCCTGCCTCAACACAGCAGCTGGATTGGCCCTGTTAAAACCTAAGTCAGGTCCTGCCCCTCCTCTGCCCAGACCCTCAGTGAAATGAAAGCCAGGGTCCTGGTGGCCCTGCAGGCCCCATTGGCCTGCCCCCATTTGAAACCTCCCACCTTCCACTCACCTCTGCCCCCGCCGGCCCTGCATGTCTGCATGGCTTTCCCACTTGGGTCTTTACTGACGTGTCACCTTCTCGGTGACATATTTACAGTGTTAACCTCCACTCCCACACTTCCTCTCCCACTGAACTTTCCTTCTCATGGCTACTTCAGTTGACATATTCTTTCTACTTCCTTATTTGTTAGTCTCCTCTAGGGAGAATTCGAGCTCCATGAGTGCAGGGCCTTTGTCTGTTTTGTTCACTGCTGTGCCCCAGTGACTGTGACATTTTGCATGTGGCGGCACTTGACACCTGTCTGTTGAATGAATATGTGTGTATGTATGTCTGTGTATAACCGGGCAGATATAGATATAGGTGTATGTATCTAGTATAGGCCTCATATCCAGAATATATAAAGAACTCATAAAAATCCAAAAAGTCAGAAGACCCAACTTTTTAAAAATAGGCAAAAGACTTGAAGAGGTACTTTACCAGAAAGGATATCCCAAAGGGTGATACACATAAGAAAAAGCATTCATTAGTCATCAGCGGAAGGAAAATTAACACCACAGTGTGATACTGCTGTACACCCACCAGGATGGCTAAAATGAAAAGGCAGAAATATCCAAGTGCTGACAAGGATGTGGCACAACGGAAACTCCCAGCCGCTGGTGGTGGGAGCTGAACTGGTAAAGCCACGTGAGAAGATGAACCCATAGTGCCTACAAAAGTCGAGCATATACAGGGCCAGAAACTCCTCCCTGGGTGGAGACCCACCAGAAATGCCTACATACTCACACCCAAAGACCCATCCATGAGTGTTTACAGCAGCACTCTTCACAATGGTTCTAAACTGGGAACCACCCAGCCGCCCTCCACAGCCAGGAGGTGTAGTCACTCAGGGAGCACCCCACAGCAATGAGAATGAACGAAGACAGACACACACAAGGAGCAGTCTCAACCACCATCACGGGGAGCAAAAGAGATCAGGCACGAAAGAACATCTAATCAGCATCCTACGGGGCTGCTGGGGCTGCGGCTGGGTGCTGGTCACCCACGTGCTCACCCTGTGAAAAGTCACTGAGCTGCAATATTTATGACTCATGCACTTGGCTGTATGTACATTACACTTCAAAACAGTTTATGTTTTAAAAAAAGAAATAACTTCCCAAGCAGAGCAGGCAAAGCTGTCTGAGCCCCAAGGCCCTTCCAAGTCTGCTGTGAGCCACAACTCAGAGAAGCCGAACTGGGGAAAGGAGCATTTTAAGGACACTGATGGTCTCTGCCTCCCTCTCCTCATTCCCCTCAAGACCAAAGGCACCTCTGGTAAAAAAAAAAAAAAAAAAAACACACAAACAAACAAAAAAAAAGCCTGCTCCTTCCTTTAAAAAGGTACAGCCTGCAAGGTTTTAGTTTTGGAAGACCAACTTTGAAGAGCAGAGAAAGCAGGAACCCAAGTGCCCACACAGGTGGTGCCCACGCCAGCATCACGACAAAGCCCCTGCAGAGGCTAAAACCTCAGAAGCTAGGGTTCCAGGGCAGGGGGGTGGGGGCAGGCTGCCAGAAGACGCAGGTGAAAGTCTGATGGTATCTGCGGGACCATGCAGGGGTGAGCACCAAGGGCGAGGGAGCAGGTTACGTGCAGCCTCTCCTTCCTGCACGGACTCCCCTCCCCACGCTGCCCAGCTGGGGCCACCCTCCTCCATCCCCACCAGCCACTCATCACCCAGGGCAGCCGTGCAGGCAGAGCTTCGGCTCCAACTCTGAGTGCGATGGATGAGGTGGGTGCCTCTCTGAGTTATCATTTCCTGGGTATAAAGCAGGGTTCATGACACCCAACTCAGGATGGCTGGCAAAACATGAAGCCAAGTGAATCAAGCACTTGGTGAGCCCTAGAGACTTCTCAGTTTCTAGTTCCGAGGGCTTGAACTGTCCAGAGGCTCTACGCCTGCCCTGGGAAACAGGCTGGGCCGCCTGCGCTCAGCAACTGTCCACTGAGAGGCCCTCTCCTGTTGCCTCCACGCCCCCGCAAGAGGGCTCAACAGGACCCGGCTGGGACATGGCGTGGCCTGAGGGCCAGTCAGCACTCTGGGTGGTCAGGCTCACCCTGCGGCAATCACACCCATGCAAACCTGTGAGCTTCAGGGCACACGCATGGCCGACACCCCGGGGAAGGGCGAAATGCCAATTCTACTCAGCTGCTGACCCTGTCCCCGGGCGACCTGGAGCAGTTGTGCACAACGATGTCCACTGAGGAACACACACGGGTCTCTGCATTTCCCTAACCCTGTCTGATTAATACTCCCCTTTGGAGAATAATGTTGGAAGCAAACAAATCGTTAACGGTTTTAGGTGACACTGAAGCACAAGGTATGGAGGAGGGCAAATGGGGGGACAGCTGACCGTTCTGATGCCCCCCTCATATCACAGAGGTTACTACTCTGCCTTAAGAAACAGCCCCCAGCAGGGCAGGGTCCTCCACGAGCTTCACTCCATAGCCTCTGCTTGTCCCCCA